GACAATGTCCTTCCTATTCGAATCTTTCATGAGACATCCATATAAAATTATTACAAATGAAAAAGGAACCTAGATAATAAAGCACAGAGTTAAAACGCTTATGATCTCCAGCGTGTGTTTCTTTGCTACTATCACTGAAATAAAATCGTGAATGAATTACATTTAAAGACATTTCTAATACAGCAGAAATCTAATTTCACTCCAAAGCCATGTAGTGGTGATGATTTCAGAAGCCGCTTTGACGCAGTCCACAGCAAGACCGTGATCCAGGCAACTGAACTAAGTCAGGCATGCCGCAGGCTGGAGGTGAAGCTGACGAGTGAGACCTGCTCAGAGTGCAGTATCCACGGACCCTTACAGTTTTATGCTGAACACTTGACCATAAAACGCTTGGCTGAAAGTTGTTCCGAGGACTGAAGAGCTAGCTCAGTGGGCACAGCGTTAGCTGGGCAAGTATGAAAGTCAAGTCTTGATCCCTGAGACACATGTAAAGAGCTGGGAGTGGTGGTCCACACCTGTAATCCCAGTGCAGGGAGACAGGAGGATCCCTGGGGATTGCTGGTCAGCCAGTCTAGCTAAATTTGTTGAGATCCGGCTCAACAAATAAGTGATTGAGGAAGACACCCAATGTCAACTTTTGGCCCTGCTTGCACACACACATATACATGCATATGTGTGTGTATAATATGAACCTATCCATATGCATGGGTGTGTTCATGCACATGCATACAAGAAAGTTGTATCCTCTGTCTATATATTACATTTCTTGTGGCAGAAACAATGTGTAGATCCAAGGATGCAAGGGGAAGGAGGAGATGATACAGGGCACAATAAACAAGCCCTTCTGGTCACCTGTGATCTATTCTTGTGTTTTATGTGTTGTTGGGAAGGTGGTATCCTGGAATGGGTATACTTCAGGTTGTCTTTGTTCTCCTTTCACTCTTTTATTTGTTTTATTTACTTGGATCTAAGTTCCCCACTACTCCTGTGAGGGGAAGCTGAATGGACCAATGGATACAATGGTTTGACAGCAGCCCTGGGGTTAACATACACTAGAAGACACTTGTCTGTTTCAGTTGTGTCCCCAAGAAATTTCAGACAACCGCACTTGGGTACCGGGTGGGGAAAATGTAGTTTGAAGTTTCTATAGCTACAGATATTAAGGAAGGGATGGGAAAAGGGAGGAAAAGAGAGAGTAAAGTGTGAATAATAAGGAAATATAAGGTACATTGGCTGTGAGTATGAGGGATAAGATAAAAAATAGAAACAAGAAAAAGACAGTCATAAAAATATATTTGGAACAGATACAAGATCACACAAAACAAGCAATTGAAGTTAAGGTATACAGATAAAATGCAAAAAAATAAATGTAAAAATGAAACTAGGAAACAAAAAGCAATGGAAGGTGTTTACAGCCTCAGTCAAATACCTCTTCCTTGTTGGGTATATTGTCTTTTCAAAACACTGTGCTGAGCCCACTCGGTTCGAGAAGGCCAGCTTCAGTCATTCTTCATCTTGTTGCTCCCAAGAAACTCCATCTAAAAGAGGGGAGAACATTTCACCAGCTAGGCTGACCCTATCTGGGGTGGGACATGCCAACCCTGTTGGTCGATCTCCAGCTCATCACTCCCATGGCAGCCACGTCTGCGTGGGGGCTGACCTGAGCTCAGGGTGAGCAGTGCAGTGAGACTGGGGGTCAGCTGGTCTTTGTCCTTTTCCTGTGACTCTGAAATGAGATTTTCCTCCCTATTAACCACCCAACGGAAGACTCACTGCTGTTGTCAAATTTGCAGTTGGATTGAGGCTTACAGTGGGTTTGCCGTGAAGGTATGACCACAAGCCTCTTTGCTGGATGTAGTGATAGTTTATTCGTATTTTAATAAATAAAGCTTGCCCAAAGATCAGAATGAAAAGCAACCACACTAGTGAGCTATACAGGCCAGGCAGTGGTGGCATACACCTTTAATGCCAGCAGCCACACTAGTTAGCCATAGAGGTTGGTGCATGCGCTTAATCCCAACAATAGAGAGGAGACAGGAACTCTCTTTCTTTCAGTCTGAAGATTTCATAGAGGTAAACTCTCTAGTGGCTTGGCTGCTTTGCTTCTCTGATCTTCAGGTGGAACCCCAATATCTGTCTCTGGGTTTATTATTTGTGCTACAGCTGGGGCTGCCTGTGAGCGTGCTTTTGGTGTTTTTGGTATCCCCAGCCCACATTTATGTACCATCCCATTTCTCTTTCACCTGCTTTGATTGTCCTTTGTGTACTTCTAAGGATTTCATCTTTTGCTTTCTTTTGAATTGTCTGGTATTGCCCCCCCCCATCCTAACCCTTTCCTTAGTTTTCTCTTTCATTGGGGCATGAATATGACAGTTCCTAGGCCACCATCCCACCTGAAAACTCCCTTTTCCATTTTAAAAGACATTTTGTTGGTTCTGTTTCATGCTAATTTTTAAACATTATTTATTTCTTTTGTGTGTTTGTGAGCATGGAGGATGAGGTGGGGCTGGGGAGGGGTGGGGTGGGATGGGGAGGGGTGCATGCACATGGGATGGCACACCATGTGGTCATGACCAGAGAACATCTTTAGGGTGGTTTTGTCCTCCCACCAGGGGCTCCAGGGCTAGAACTCAAGCTGACAATTTTGGTGGCACCCTTACCGCTGAGCCATTCTGCTGACCCAGTTCTTATTTTTTATTATGTAAATTTTTAAATTTAAATATATCTTGATCATATTTTTCTTCTCTCCGAAGTCTTTCCGGATCTTCTCCTCCTCCCTAACTGCCCAACTTTAATTTTTTTTCTTATAAAAAAACCCCAAAACAAATAAAAAAAAAAACAACACAACAACAAAATACCCCAAACAAAGGAAACAAAATCACTCCCTAAAAAACAGAACACAACACCAACTATAACCAAATAAAAGCATATACACAAAAAACTTTCAGAATTCATTATACATTGGCTAGCTACTCCTGAACATGAAGCCTGTCCTAGAGTGGTTGACATACCCATTGTCACTTTATTGGAGAAAACTGGTTTCTCTTCTTCCAGCAGGTATGAGTGACAATTTACTTGTTAACATTTACTCCAGTGGCTAGGTTTTCACTCATGCATTTAAGAAAAAATATAAATGTAATATAATATATATATTATAGTTTATATATAAGTAGCTTATATTAACTGTAATATATTATTATGTATAATCACATAATTATATATAACATAATTATATATAATACATATAAATTATATTTTATAATATATAATATAAAGTAATATAATATATATTAAGATAAAACAAAAACTATCTCATTGAAGTTGGACACAACAAACCAATAGGTAGAAAAGAGCCAAGATAAGGTACAAGAGTCAGAGTCTCACTGTTTTCATACATAGGCAGGAGTCCCATAAAAACCACTAAACTAAAACAAACAAACAAACAAACAAACAAAAAAAAACACTAAACTAGTAGCCATAATATAAATGCAGAGATCCTGGTGCAGACCTTGTGCAGGCTGCTTCAGTGTCTGTGAGCTCATATGAGGAGTCTTGCTTATGTTGGTTTAATGACCTTCTCCTGGTGTCCTCCATTCCCTCTGACTCTTATACTCTTTCTGCCTCCTCTTCCAAAGGTTTCCCTGAACTCTGAGGGCAGGGATTTGATGGAGACATCTCCTGTAGGACTGAAACCTTGTTCTTTTTTATCTTCTGAATAATTAATTACTTTTACTAGTTCTGAAGGAAATGTTACAATTTTCCATAAGAAAATAATTGATTAAAGAAGGTCTTACATTTTTGTGTTTTTTTTTCTTCCAAGCCAAGAAGAAGGGACAACTTTCTATCATTAGGTGTCATTTCTTTAACCTTGAAGTGTTTTCAGGCCTGTTCCTGTGCTTTATACACTGAATAGAGTAAATGCAACCATGTTTATCATTTTCCCCACTTTAAGTGGGCTCTTTACCAGTAATGTCATAAATACAGCTGTACAAAAGTTGGTGTCTCACTTTTCAGATGAGCCTCTTGCATGTGTTCTTGTAGTTTTTGGAATAATTTTTCCTTCTCTTCCAGTTTTTTCTTTTTCTTGTCTCATTGTACTGGATAGCATTTCCCGTAGAAGTTGGTTGATTAGAGTGTATCCCTTGCATTTAGGTAGGTTTGTTGTGAGTTTTTCACAACTTCCTGTGGGTGCTGAAACCATGGACAGTAATGGGACCTGTATATGCTATGCTTTTTTTGTTTGTTTGTTTGTTTGTTTGTTTTTTTGAGACAGGGTTTCTCTATGGTTTTGGAGCCTGTCCTGGAACTAGCTCTTGTAGACCAGGTATGCTATGTTTTTAGTTAACCATACAACTATGATGGTCAGCGTCTCTTTGGCATGACTTCGTTCCCGGCATCGCCACTCCAGCTTTAGGAAAAATAAAGTTTGCTTGGATGTGAGTACTGAGATAGGACCACAGTTGACTTGAAAACTGAGACATGAAGCTACTAAGTGGGTAACTTGGACACATCCCAGATAGGATGGATAGCGAGCTTCCGTTTGTGCCCGTCAGAACAGTATGCAGTTTAAATTATGTTTACTGTTTATTTCTAGAACTTCTTCCTTAATAATTCCTGGCTGTGGCTGTCTGTAGGTACTGAAATGACAGGGAAAAGGTACCAGTTAAGAAGGTATTGCTGTTTATGCCTTTGGGATAAATTTTATTTTCAACCCCCTTTGAATAAAATTTGGGCTGGAGAGATGGCTCAGCGGTTAAGAGCATTGCCTGCTCTTCCAAAGGTCCTGAGTTCAATTCCCGGCAACCACATGGTGGCTCACAACCATCTGTAATGAGGCCTAGTGCCCTCTTCTGGCCTACAGGCATACACGTAGAAAGAATGTTGTATACATAATAAATAAATAAATAAATACAAAAAAAATTTTGGAATTTGGAATAAAATATATTTATATTCTAAATCAGTATTCTTTTTTCCCCTGATGCAGACTGCTTAATAAATACTCCACTGCATTTCAAATGGCAAAAAATCTTAGGCAACACTCAGAGAAATGCATAAATTTGGATTCTTTTAAAATTTTCATATTTTATTGAATATAATCTCTTGCCATTTAAAAATTAAGTATGGGCCCAAGGATTGTGGCATAGTGTTTCTCTGGCCTATGTGAGGCCCTGGTTTGATCCTTAGCACCAAACATAGAGATAAATTAAACCGTATTTAATTTCTGAAAGTATTTTCTTACGCATAAAAATTGCTGGAAAGGCTGGAATTTCCTTTAGAAGTGTTCTGCGCTCATCAATCAAACACTTATCTAGGTCATGGTGGGTCGAAGGCTCACCACCTCTCCCAGGCCATTGGGAACTGATGTGTGAGCATTTCAAGGACACAAGGGAGCATCTGCAGTGACCCCTGGGGTAAGAGTTCCTACACAAAGTCCAGAAGGGACCACAAGATAAAAAAAAAAAAAAAAACAGTGAGACAATCCAGTAACAACTTGTGAAAATACGCTGGTATTTTCAGAGTTGAAAAGGGACTCTCAGGAATGGGAGCAAACCAGTCATTCTTTCAGAGAGCTGTAAGTTGAAACAGACATATGTATACTTAGTGGACAAGGACGAAAACTGTCTCAGGTGCTGTTTTTTTAGCCGGTTACAGGTCAGTCCTGTGGGTAACTGTGCGCACTCAGGGGTCGTCATCTTCAGGAGGCTTACGTTTCTTCACAGCTTGTTTCCATGACCTTCACTTGTTCTTCAAACTCATCAGAACTAGAATTTCCAAGTTATTACTATTCTTGGGGGGTTCCCAATGCGGCTTGTTCAGTTGCTAGTATTGATAGTCAGTATTGTCAACTTGAAGGGATAAAGGGTCATTGAAGATATAAGCCTCTTGAAATATCTGTGCGGGGTTATCTCCATTTTGTTAGCTGAGGTGAGAAGACTCATCTTAAATGTGGGCAGCACCACCCCCCTGCCTGGGTAGTATGTTGAATAGAAACTGATCTGAACACCAGGTTTCACTGTTCTCAGCTTCCTGATTGCAGATGCAATGTGTCCAGCAGCCACTTTCTCCTGCAGCCACGCCTTCTCTCCCATAACGGAATGTACCTTCCAAAACTGTGAACCAAAACAAACTGAGTTCCTCCCTTGAGTTGCATTTTGTTAGGTATTTTCCTAGCATCCAGAGAGTAACTAATACAGCGATGATGGCCTATATGGAGTGCCTGCAATTAGCTGAGCACAGAGACATCTAACCTGAAGCTGAGGTTTGTTTGTGGTTTTTGAATCCTTACTGGCAGAGTATCCGGGTGTGGAAGGCATTTCTGGTTGCCCATCTCGAAATCCTTCCCTTCTGTGACTGGAGTTGATGTAACTGGGTTAGAACTTGGTTGACACATCTCTTGGCTCTTGTAGGTGTGGCTCATTGGGACTCTGAGCGACAGCAAGGTTTTCCACTTCCTTTCGGCACTTGGCTGAGTAGATAATGTATGTGCTTCGTATCAGGAAGACCACAGCAATGACAGCAAAGTAACTTCCATAAACTAAAAACTGGAAGAAACAATCAATTAGCTATTTATAAAGTCTGACAGTTCATATCATTGGTAATATATAGCAATCTTCCTTGTTTGATTGAATTATGGGGTAATTGGGACCAAGAACTTAATAAGGGTTATTCTGACTGGACTCTTCTATCTCAAATAAACTAAGGTTAAGAGCGTAAGCATGTAGAGTAGTGACTAAGGGTCTGCCTTTACACCAGGCTGCTTAGGTTCAATCCAAGCTACCTCAGTGAGGATAAAGAGAAACTCCAGTAGCTGCTGGGGTTCTGTCTGTGTTCTGTGTCTGAAGGCTGATTCAGTGTAATGACTTGTAAAAACTGAGGTTTCTTCTTACCTGCCTTCTTCAGGTAGCTATAAATCTAGTTGCTCTAAACTCAGTTGGTGTTATAATTAAGGGCTGCATATTTTAAAATGTTCATAGCCAAATAATTTTTAAAGCCTTCCATGTTGCTAGTTTTATGATTTTGGAAGCAACCTAGCTATTCTATATTCCTAGTTACTATGTCAAGAGGAACCAGGAGTCCTGCGGCTTACCTGAGTGGTGACTGGCAAGTGGAGCCCTCTTTGATCTGCCACAATCACAGTCATGATGGCCTGAATCACCAAGGCAATAAAGGTGTCTATGCCAAACACCAGGGCATAACGTTCTACACTCAGGTTAACGGCAATCTGAAATCTGTCATTAAAGGTTGAGTTAGCATTTAGCAACCACGGCATAAATAAAATTCTTTTCTTTAAAAAAATTATTTGCATTGGTATTTTCCCTGCATGTATGTCTGTGTGAGAGTGTCAGATCTCCTGGAGGTGGAGTTATACATAGTTGTGAGCTGTCACGTAGATGCTGAGAACCCTGGTCCTCTGGAAGGTCAGTTAGTTAGTGTTCCTAACCAGAAAGCCATCTCTTCAGCCCTAAATACATAAAATTCTTCTCTAATGGAAAGGCAGAAACTGGGCACGATGATGCATTTCTATAATTCCAGCATTCAAAAGGCAGGAAGAATCCAAGGTCGTTCTTGCCCACACATCAAATTCAAGGCCACTTAGGAGGTACTTGAGACCTTCTATTAAAACCAAACAAAAAATCAGAACAAGAGTTGAAAACAATGTTGTTGTTAGCATGCCTTACCTAACTCTGATCTGCAAAAGAATAATAACTGTTCTACCTTTCAATCCTCATCATAAGAAATGAAACTAGACATTTTGAGTTTAATGTATTAAACCAAGATATTTCAGTGAGAAACTTAGCTTTCTGTGATGGCTATCAACTATCAGCTTGATACAACCTATTACTTGGGAAGTCTTAAAAGGATTGTTTAGATCAGGCTAGCCTGCGCACACTTCATTGCGGGACTGTCTGGATTATTAGTGTGGGGGGGCACCATTCCATAAGCTGGGGAGTTAGTCTGAGCAAGAAGCAAGGGTGCATTTATTCTCTTTGCTCTTGATCATGGATATAACATGACCCCTTTCTACAAAGGTTGAACTATAACTTGGAATTATAAACCAAATTAATCCTTTCCTAGCCTCCATTGCTTTTTGCCAGAGTAGCTGTCACAGCAACAGAAATGAAACCAGAACACTTGCTAACTAGTGGCCTCTCCGTTGTCTTCAGATATTTGCATTAGGGCTCATATTCCAATGTTTTACCGTTTGTCAAATGGTTTTCACAAATTAAAAGTGAAAGTTGATAAAGCTTGTCATGATGTCTCAAATGTATCTTGGAACTAAAAGGCATCTCTTTTTTGACTAAAACCAAAGGAAAGTATATTCTCCTTCTCCTCCTCTTTTCTGAGTCAAGACCTGCGTGGCCCAGGCTAACTTCAAGCTTGCTAGGTCATCAAGCATGACCTTGAACTTCTCATCCTTCTGCCTCCAGGCCCCACGTTCTGAAAACAGGAGTGGTCTACCATGTCCAGTTTGAAGTGGCAATAGCCCACTTGAGTCTGTGACTCTGTCAGGCCTTACCCTTCTCCCCTATTCCCTCTATCTTGCTAAAAAAAATAAACACCCCCACCCCCCCCAAAAAAAACCTGTTAGATTGCATTCCTAAAGCTAGACACCAAGGTCTACTCCCTTATTTTGCCACTTCTTCCTCCTGTGGCTGACCACCAAGGTCCAACTGCCAAAAGTATTCAAGTCTAGCAACCAAAAGAACCTTTTGGCTAACCTCATCAAAATGTTCAATTAAAATAAAAAAACTCACCCTATCACAGGGTTTCCCCTTTGACCTTTATAATCTACCAATTTCCAGTGTGCCACATCTGTCTCCTCTCTCTGCAGAGGTGGTTTTCGCCTCCCTCTCTGGACAATACCATTTTCTTTTCCCTGGTTTCCTTCCCTTCTTACCTACCTCCTGTCTCTGCCATCTCCTACTCCCTGCCCTTGGTCCCCCTGGGACAAATCAATCTTCTTTGTGCCACACCTTGGTCTTGGGGTCCTGAGATGATACTGATCTCTTTTGCAGTTTTTATAGTGCTGGGAATCGAACCCAGGACTTCATGCTTATGTGGCAAGCACTTTACCAACTGAGCTATGTGGCCTGCTCCCGAAGAAAGCTTCTTGTAGTCAGGGTGCTCCCATACAAGCCACATGCTTTTAAATAATTTCTTAAAAAACACTATCCTGAGTGAGGTAACCCAGACCCAAAAAGATGAACATTGGATGTACTCACTCATAATTGGTTTCTAGCCATGAATAAAGGACATTGAGCCTATAATTCGTGATCCTAGAGAAGCTAAATAAGAAGGTGAACCCCCCCCCCCCAAGAAAAAAACG